TGTGTGTGTGTGTGTGCGTGCGTGTGTGTGCGTGCGTGCGTGCGTGCGTGCGTGCGTGCGTGCGTGCGTGCGTGCGTGCGTGTGTGTGTATAATTTTGATTACTTTATTTTGATTATTTTGGTTTGATTTGATTGGGTTGTATTTGGTTTGGTTGCAATTTGTTTGATTTAGGTTGTATTGTATTTGATTAGTTTGATCGAATGACTCAATTAAACTTGTGAAATCTTATTATTTGGGAATTATTGAGAAGACACCCCATTTGTTCTCTCTTGACATCATTTCTTAAGATCCATGTCAAGGTTTGTTTCGAAATAGTTTTTTCTAAAATTAAAACATTTACTACTTGATGTTCTATGTCGTCTATTGATTTAGATTTCATGATTCTCAATTTTTAATAAGTTAGTTACATGTTAATGGTCACGTTTGGATTGTCGATCATTTTCATTTTTGGTTGAGTTTTCAGTTGCCATCTCTTGATTTCGTCTTTTTTTATTTCTCTTTCTGCTTTGTGGTCGTTATTTTGTGTTGGTTGTGATTGATTCATATTCATTTTAATGTTGGAACAAGTTTGACTCTGCAACTATCCTTGAGCTTTGATGGTAACAAAGCTTAATTTATATAGAGAACAATTTTGAACTCTAATTAAATTTTTAAGAATGTAGATCAAAGAAAATAGATTCTAACTCTGGAAAATTCAAGTATGGGCGAACCAGAATCTAAAGTAAAGCGCGTCTGAAGTCTAATCTATGCAAGATTTGAAGATTGGCTAAATCTAAAGCATGCAAACTCTAAACTGAAGGCACACTCTAAACCAAAAAAGTTTATTTAATTGATTAACATGGCTTAGATTAGTCGATTAACCTATTGAAAAACATAAAAAATTTCTAAGTTACAAATGCCACTTTTTACTATTTTGAAAAAAATTCATAGAATGGGTTTCGAATTATTTTCTTTGAGCATATAAGGTCTATATTATAAAAATATATTGTACCTTAGTTTATGAAATGTCATAGATTAATCTAATTAATTCCTTTAAATCATATACTTGAATCATCCTTGCAAAGAGACTTGAAACTTGATTTGAAACACTTAATTCGTTGTTGAATCTATCACTTCTTATATAAATTTGTCTTCATCAAAACATTTTCATAAGAGACTTGTCTTCATAAAAAACATGTTTGTTATAATATTCAAAGTTTTTGACGATGAAAATTTTTTCTTCATGACTATGATGCTTTAAAATGCATCAACCATGGCCGAAAGACTATTGGTCTTCTGCAACCAGATGAGCAGTGGTTCCAGGATGTGATGCATCTATCTGGGATGAGAGAATTGTGTAGGATCGGTTATGTTACGGTTAACCATGGTATGCTGTCTATGTTTGTAGAGAGATGGCACTCGAAGACCTCATCTTTTCATCTTCTACATGGTGAGATGTCCATCACATTGGACGATGTCTCGTGTCTGTTGAATATTCTATTTAGGGAAGACTTTTAGACCATGATAAGATTAATAGAGATGAAACATTGGATATGATGGTAGGATATCTGGGAGTTGACTTAGGGGATGCCCTGCAGGAGTTGGAAGTCACTGAGAGGCTCATGTTATGTTTAAATTCATGGAGAGGTTGTATACGCAACAACTGCATAATAGAGAGCAAGCCACTGGTAACGATGAATAGGTTGTACAGAATAGAGCATATGCATTGAGATCATAATTATTGTACTTGATTAGCACGTCCATTTTTGTGGACAAGGGTGCCACTTTTGTAGATGTGATCTACTTGAGATACTTTGCTGACTTGGAGCTGATCCATGAGTACAATTGATGGGTTAGTTGTTTGGTCTACCTATACTCCAAGTTAGCTGGAGGTTGATGAGTGTTAAATTATTATGAATTTGAGTGTTAATAATTAGCACTCACCGGCTTAATTCATTTTCTTTTTATCAATAAACCTCAACTTTAGTGTATATTCGGTATAATTTATGTTTAGTGTATTTATTGCGTTATTATGTAAATATTATTGAGTTTAATTGATTTTATCTCATTTTTGTAGGTATCCAAGCATTGATATTTAGGCATTATTAGATAGAGCATTGAATAAGCTTTCCAACGCTTCCGACCAGGCGCAAATCAGAATTACGGTTCAAATGTTATGGCCTAAACAGTGTAGAATATTGTGCTGGTTTTTTCAACTTTCTGTCATCCGTCGCCGGGCGACGCTTTTGGTCGCCGAGAGACACCGGACGAGCTGTAGCATGGGAAAACGTTATTTTGGTCGCCGAACGATGCTTTTTGGTTGTCGAGCGATACTGGACAGTCAGAAATGCGTATTTAGGTGTAAAAACATATTTTTTGGGATGGTTTTGGATATTTTTGATCCCAACTCCATCAACCTTCATTTTTGGATAGAATTAACTTAGAAAACAACATTGAAGCTTGCATACGGATGATCCGGTGTGGATTGCTCATCAATCGGCGCTGACAAACCGAGAGATTTGTAGTTCATTTCTCTTCCTCTTTGTGTATTCTTTATGTGTTAAGTTCGTACATGTATTTACTCTAAACTTATGTATATTTTTCACCCATGGCGTTATATTAAACTTGCTTTATAAATCTTTGTTGATTGTTGTCCTGAATTTTTGCTCTGTACTAGGGATTTGAGTTGTTATAGACATATATGTTGTACCCCAATTTTTGCCCCTAAGATTCCCCTATCATCTCATACCATCACAATGAAATCAGATCATAAACTAGGGTTTGGGGTTTATCTTCTACTGCATCATGTCTTAGGGTTTGCCTATGGAATTACCAAACACCTTGAAGAGCCTCGAATTGTGTACTTTGTATATGTATGCTTTTAACTAACCTCAAAATATGGGCATTTTGTCCTTTGGAATATTATATTGTAGGTCATGGCACAGTTGCCTTCATCTCACCATCTCCTAGCACTGAGGATCAAAATTAGGGTTTGAAGTTTAATCAGGAGATCTTTGTATTTTTGGGCAATTCTTGATCCCATACTTCTCTACATAGTCATGAGCAGCTATCATTGGAAGTTTGATCACCAACTTTGGCTTGAAAGGGTTCAATTGATGAAAAGGCGTAAAATGGTCATTTTCTCATAAGATAGTCAAAAGCAGTTGTTGACCAAGTGAAATTTTGGTAAACTATCAATTAAACATCCCTACTCTCATATTTCATGGTCAATAATGCAAAAATATCAAGAGGAAGTGTGAATTGGAGTTAACTTGTCAAGGAAGTTATTTGAAGTTTTGAAATTTTTCTAAGTATCCATAGGGCTGAATTTTAACTAGCTATAACTTTCCCAATTTTTATTGAAAATGTGCAAATTTTATATGCCTAGAAAGAGGATGAAAATTCTCCAACTTTGTAGGAGTGACCATAAGTACAAAAAATGAAAGGAAAAAAAGTTATGAAGCTTGGAAGATTTTTGACACTTAGTGAAATTTTGGTTAAAAATGCAAAAGTTTGACTTCTTCATCTCCATTTTTGAATGATCATTTGGACTCAAATCAAAAAGTTGGTAACGTGAAAGTTGTAGATTGAAGTTTTATCTTCATTTTTAATTCAACAATCATCTCAAATGGTTAAGTTTATAGAAATATATGGTGATTAGGATTTTGAGTTAAAAGTTGAATTTTTGCCCAGCACAAGGCAAGTCACGCGCTAGGCAGTCATTTTATCAAACATGTTGTGGGCGTGCATTCATCATCACTTTTCTATGTGAAATATTCATTATTTTGAAAAATGTCTGACATCAAAGTTGAAGTCCTAAATGTGAGGAACAATGTTGCTTCAAGAAGTTTCTCCAAATTCTCCATAAATTTTGAGATATAATTGAAGGAAGATGCACTACAAGAAAATTAGTGTTTAACGACACAAAAATTGCGACAGTTATGTGATAACTGTCGTAATTGACATATAGAGACAGTGTTTACGACAGTTGACACCAACCGTACCTAATATTTATTTTGCGATGGTATAATTAACCATCATAATATTATTATTACGACGGTAAAACAACCGTCGGCCCCCATTTAACACTTTTAACATTGATTTTTCACCAACAACTAGTCACGACGGTAAAATTAACTGTCCTAAAAGGCATATCACGACGGTAAAGCACCCGTCGCACCCTTAAACCTTTCACGACGGTAAAATTATCCGTCCTAAAATTCATTTCAGGACGGTAAAACAACCGTCGCACCCAAAACCTTTAAAAATTCTCATGGGCACGACGGTAAAACACCCGTCGCCGTAAAAAAGTTAAAAAGCTCTTAAAATACATAAAACATCAATTCACTTTCTACTCCTGCGTTCACTTTTTCTACTCACGGTGCCGTTCATGCCGTTCTTCTTCACACCGAAAGAAACCCCTTGACACCGAAAGGAATCTCTTCAAACCGCTCATCTTCACACCAAAAAACGCACAGCAAGCAGTTTAACATCCTCTGCGTTCATCTCTTCAAACACAGTAAGTTTTATGTATCACTTTCTGCATTGTTCTCATCTCTCTCATTCTCTGTCATTGATTTCAGCATTGGAGATTCACTTGAATCTTATGGTTGAGCTCTTTGTGATGATTGATTTTGAGTTTGAATATATTGAATTGATGTTAGGTTTTCAAAATCTCCTTTTCTGCTACTAATCGTTCCGCAAGGGTCTTCATCGCACAAGATTCAATGTCATCAAGATTGGAATCAGCAAGTCACAAACTCGTCATCACAAAGGAGGTAATGAAATCTCATATTTTGATTCTTTCACTCTCAAATGAAAATAATTTTGGGTATTTGAATCACCACTATGACTTCATCACCGTGTTTGATCCCGGGGGTGTTTTGATGTTTCTCACTAATATGCAAGTTAAAGTCTTCGATCATCCTATTGTTTAGATCACAATTTTTGATCCCGTCGGAGCTTTGACATTAAATGATGGAGCTTTAGATCAGTGATGGCGATGGTGTTATTGTAGAGGCTAACGGTGGTGTCTTTTCCCATTAGTGTCAAGGTGTTTGTGAAAATGCGTAGTTGAATATTGGAGTCCAGTAGCACGTTGACGCTGGTGTCTTTTGCCATTGGTGTCAAGGTGTTTGTTAAAATTCCTAGTTGAAGATTGGAGTCCCGTAACATCAGTATGTTCAAGAAGGGAATGAGTAGAGAGGATGTTATTGTAAGGATCAACAACAGAGGTTGAAACTTGAGGGGAAAGATAAAAAATGAATCTAGGCTTGGATTTCTCGCCATAATCGACTAAAAGATGTTTCGGCAGAAGGGAACCAAGACCAAAACCAGTGCCTCCGCCTACAATATTGAAAACCAGAAAGCCTTGGAGACCAGTATAATTATTTACAAACTTTCTGATACGACCCAAGCATACATTGACAGTTTCTTTTCCAATGGTATTGTGTCCACGAGCAAAGTTGTTAGCTGCATCCTCTTTTCCGTTAATGAGTTGTTCAGGATGAAGTAGTTGGTGGTTTCTAGTCGACGTTCATGCATGAACAAGATTATTGCTTAGAAATTTCAATTTCAATTCAAGTTTTCTGTCATGGATTTAATTAGTGTGGTACATCAAGAAATTCATGTGCAACAATATTACATGTTTAATGAACAAAGCTCTTCGACATTTCTACATATTGGGTTATCCCTGCCATGGTTATGTTTTTGGAGCATCACAATATAGCGGGGAAGCCTTTCATGGTGAAACAATATTGTGAGGGTGAAAAGCAGAAGATTTAAAGCACCTTTATTGTACTGATTTTTTGTATGTTTCCAGGTCCATTGTGTATTTTAGTGATTGCTTCATGTAATTCAAGTTGGTTGTGATTCACATCCCTACCAGCTTGAGGGAGGCTGTTAAAATAGTCCTTTTAGCTAGTTAGTTAGGAATTAGCTAATTGTTAGTTACTCAATTAGGTACACAATTGAGTATATAAATTAGGTCACAATGTACACATTTCATTATCTTTTCAATAAACTTTTCATTATGTTAGTATTCATATGCTCTCTATATCTCATGTGAGTATGACCTCTATCCCTATCATCCATGGATTCTCAACATTCATTCACACCATTTCCGGATTATCCATTCAAGCCACCAAAGGTAATTGAACTGTTACTTGTTTCTACGTTAGTTGCTTGTTTGTTTTGTCTGTTTTTATGATGTTTATAATTTATTGTGATTTGTTCGTTTGTTTGTTTTTCAAATGCTTCAAGGCAGATCTTATCTATATGTACTCTGTAGCATGATTGTTTCTTTTTTGTACGATTTGTTAATCCGACCATGACCATTTTTGTTGTTGTTTCTAGTGAGTGTGTTATTTTTGAATAAATGCAAACGCCAGGTTAAAGGAAGCCAAGCTTGTATTGCACATTAAATATGAATAGATATATTGCATATTTGCTCCCCTAAGAATATCGATTAGACTCCGCAATTCAAAATAAGTTTGCACCTTCACATTTTGGGCTTGTGCTGCTTGTGCCTCTTGCCCTCGAACATGCTTTTATATTTGTCTTTTGTTGTAGCATATGGATATTTACTAGCTTTTGCTGTATTGGAAGGTAGAAAACATCACATGGTTATTAGTTCTGGTTGGTTATAAATCTGATTATTTGTCACTAATTCACAAACTTCTATTGGCGTTGGAAAAACTAACAGAGAAGCTGTTAGATGACTTTTCATTTCAATTATATTTTGCCTTTCATTTTCTTCTTTCCTCATCAAATCGGATTGTTCTCTTTCATTTTCTTCTTTCCTCAACAGTTGACAGTTAGTTATCCAGTTTAATTTGTTCACAAGTTATAAATGTTGTTTTATTGTCTGTTAATCAATTTTGTAAATATCTTGTACCATGTATTTAGTTAAATAGTCTAAACATGCTAAAGTTATTTTAATACTGCAGGTTGCATTTAGGACTAAGGTATTCCACCCAAACATCAACAGCAATGGAAGCATCTGTCTTGACATTCTAAAAGAACAATGGAGCCCAGCATTGACCATTTCTAAAGTTTGATTTTACTTGTTATTATTGATAATTGATGATTATGTATCAAGTTTTAGCTAAATGTGACACCTGGATTGTGTTGTGTTGCCTTTTAGAATGATTTGCAAATGTGAAAAATATTGGACAAATGTGTTGTCACGTTTTGAGCTAATTTACTTGCATTTGCCAATATTGGACAAATACAAATTCTGACTATTAAATGTGTTCGCCTACTGAAATTTAGAATCACAAACTTTGCTAATTGTTTGGAAATTCAATTGAAGCATACAGTTTTATCAAGGAATGAGGCTTATTTTCACATATAAAATTTGTCTATCCATGACTTTTTGTACTCTTATCATTTCTATTGTTACTTACTGCTGTAATCTCATTGATGTTTTTATGTGTTTCATACTACTTGTGCTAGTTTTAAATTTTTTTTGGGATTACAACAAAGCCAATGTTTACTGTGCTACCTGGGATGCTAGCCAGCCATTGTCATGGCGTAGCCAATACGGTTGGACTGCCTTTTGTGGACCCGCCGAACCTACAGGCAGAGACTCTTGCGGCAAATGCTTAAGTGTACGACCATTTCTTTCATATCCTAGCATTTTCTTAATGAGTTTATTTGTTGACATGTGCAGGGACTTCATCATTTGTAACTAGTTAGTCCAAGAGAATTGATAATATAGTGGTGATGGATTATGCAGGTGACAAATACAGCAACTGGTGCTCAGGTAACAGTGAGAATAGTGGATCAGTGCTCTAATGGTGGACTGGATTTGGATGTGAATGTCTTCAACCAACTGGATACAAATGGAGCAGGCTACCAGGCGGGTCACCTTACAGTTAACTACGTCTTTGTTAATTGCTAAGCTCAATGAACCACTCTTTGTAATAATAACAAGTTCTAGCACTGCTTCTCATCATAAAACCATAAATAAAACAAAAGGTGTTATACATGCATATGTATGCTTAATTGGATGAAAAATAAATGATCATTCTATACTTAATAATTATAATTTGTAAGTCTATCATTTTTCTCTCTTGCTTTTAGTGCTAAGCTGCTGATATATAAGATAAGACTTGTAACTTACGTAAGTACCCCCTTTTTCTTAGAAAGCCGCCTTACATGACCATAACAACTTAAGTAAATAAATTCGCCTTTTTTATTTGGATTTTATTTTTACTAAAATTTTAAATTGTAAGGTAATAAGTGTATATATTTTGGGTCAAAGAAGAGAGAAACTAGTAGAAGCAAAAGAAATGAAGAGAAAAAAAAGAGGAAATAGAAATAAGAAAGGTATAGAGAAATTTACTTGGAAAGAAGGACAAAAAATCTCTTCATATTATAATTGTTATTATGTTTTTGTTATCGATAACAGACTTGCTAATTTCATTTGTAATAACAAGTGTAAAGGTTACAACGAGCTGGTTTTGGTAACTACCGTCGTAATCAACAATTAAAAATAATCAACAAAAGTCATGACAGTATCGAACCGTCGCCATAAATAATTTAATCAATTTCAAAAGATATTCACGACAGTATCGAACCGTCGCCATCAATAATTAAAAGAAACTCAAAAGATAGTCACGACGGTATCAAACAGTCACCAATACTTGATTATGTCAGCTCCAAACCCGTCGTAAACTTGAACGACAGTTTTTGTAACCGTCGCGAAATAGGTTGGGGACACACACTTCTGCGATGGTAAAGCAACCGTCGTGGAAAGCAAATTGCGACGGTTTTAACCGTCGTAATCTACAAAAATACCTGTCGCAATCTGCCAATTTTCTTGTAGTGATGGCATCATACAAGTTGAAATGTTTTGCCCAGCCAAGCCTCACGTGCACGCAGAATGCCTAGTCAGGCCTGGCATTCCATCAAGCAGTTTGTAAGCATCCATTAATAGCCAAATATCTCATTGATCCAAGCTTAATTTTAAAAAAAATTGAACATCAAAGATGGAGTATGAAATGTCCTCTCCATTTTTTATTCAAACTTTGTGACTTTTCAAGCACCATGGAGAGAGATATAAGGAGCTAAAGATGTGATCATGAAATGTCAAGACTTGCATGGGATTGCATGGTTTTTTTTGTGCCAGCCAAAGTTCCAGCCTGCCATATCATCACTCACACTTTTCTCACTCATTTCCCACCCTTCATTTGTTGTTCAAAACACATGCTCCTCATCCCAAAACAACATAAAACGCGCAACACCTTACACCTCACTCTCATTTCTCATTTTCGTCACTCTTTCATTCTTCCCTCTATAAAAGGCAATGTGATTCAACAATTGAGGGGGATTTTTTTTTGTCAATAGCAAGCTCTCACTCCCTTTCTCTCTTCCTCGCAAAATCAACAACTCACTTCTCTTTCTCTCTCTCAAAACAAACTTGAACTCCATTGTTGAAATTTTCTTCTGTTCGAAGCTGCCTCCATTCTTGTTCCAGCTCTCATATCTCTTTCATTTCTTCATAATTGGAGCAAGAGAAGCAAGTGTACCTGGCTTTCTCCTCATTAGATCCAGCCAATAGTGAATTTATTTTTCACTTGAAAGGTAAAATTAAGATTTGGATTTCTTGATTGCTAGCTTAATTCAATGCTTGAGATCTTGCATACATGTTATTAGCTGGCCATACAATAGGTCTGATGTATTTGATCGGTTGGATTCGAGCTCCATTGATGTTTTGAATTTTTTTTGCAAATCATGCTCAAGTAAGTTTTCAGTGACTTTGAGCTCCGATTTCTATTTGATCCTGCCTTATTTTTGAAATCTAAAATATGTGTGATGGTCTTAGATGTTTGGTGATCATTTTCGCTTTTTGAATCATCTCAAATGGTTGAGAAACAAGAGAGAAATTGAAGCTGGAAGTTGCCTTGATGAAAACTGTTTTTTACACGCGTTTTGGGTTTTGGAATGTTGGTAGGGACGATGACGTGTCCCTGCATAATTGAACATGGATGCATTTTATTTTTTACAGCGCATTTTGTCAAGAAAGGGTGTAAAAAGCTTCATATATTAATTTTTCTTTTGTTTTCTTAAATTTCATTTTAATATTTTCTTCATTTCAAAAATTATCAAAAAAATATTTTAAACTCCTTTTTCAGTATATTCTCATATTTTTATTTTTATTTATTTATTTTTAATCATTTTTCTTGATTAAATAAAATCATGTGAATAATTAGAGTTTTAATTTTTCTTTTAAATCTTGATTTTTATTTTCCTATTTCTATTAAGTAAAAAAAGTCATAAAAAATATTTTTGGACTCCTCTGTAAGATTATTACATGAAAATATTTATTGTCTTATTTTATAAAAAATTTGGATTACAAATTAAATCATTTAATTGAACATATTCATCTTTTCCTTGTTTTTTTTAATGATTTGTTTAAATAAATTTTATTTCTTTTTTCCTTTTGAGATAAAATTAAAAAAAAATGATTTCTAATCCTTAGAGTTTTCTTAACATTTACGTTATTCTACATCAAATTTATTTGACCTTTGGACCTAATTGAATAATTTTTGAACTTATTTTCTTTTTTAGGGTTTTTGCTTGATCATGCACATTAATGGATTTAAATTTCTAATTTCCTATAACTATAAAATCATAGATGAAGTTGTTTGGAGTGCTTGAACATGTTGAGGCCATAAAAATCATTTTTCTGGAATTTTACATTGTGATTTCATATTTTTCACAAATCATTTTCCAAAACCATCTAGTTTAAGGCTTAAACTTGCTAGTTTTCGAGTTTGCCTTTCTAAAGCAATTTTACACCTCAGTCCAGGGACTCCAAATTTTGTTTATTACTTTTATAGGACCCTAGGAAGTTAGGGTTTTAATTTCATAGTTTTTCAGGCCATTTTCATATTTTTAAAACTATTTTTGACCAAATATTGCATTTAGGGTTTTCCCTTTGAACAATGTTTGTAAATTGAAAACTTTTGTACATGATTCTTGTTTGATTCTCGAAATAGCATATGGTACTGACTTGTAGCATATCTTGAGACAAATTCTTCAACATCATTTGATCTTGGGTGTTGATAGGTTGATAAACCAAATCCATTAAAATGGACGAATGATGTTGATGATATTTGAAACTCTAATCCCTCCCCTCTTCATCTTATTCCCCTTTTTTATTGTATTACATGTTATAGGATAATGATCTCTATATCATTTATCCAAACATGAAATACATAGATTGCTATTGACCGACTTCAAAATAGGTGCGACTTCTACATAAGTCCACTTACGATTGCTTAACATAGCGCTAAATTTTGTCCTGATTCGAATAAATGATCACTCGTGGCCCAAACCTATGTTTGCAAGCCCAAGTATGTTAATTTGATCCCTTTGATCCAATAAACTTGAGATTCATTATGTGGAGGCTTTGGTTCTACCAATCCTCTAATGGATCTTCATAAATTTTGGTCAACGCGGATCACTTAAACATCATTGATCATTAAATGTTGCCTTGAGAATTCTTAAATGAATATTATACTTGACAAAAAGCAAATGCAACTTGTTGTTGAGAGGATTTGGTTATACCGATCCTCTAATGAGTTCCAAATGCAAGTTTCAAGATGGTCATCCAACTAACCATTAATTATTAACAATTGACTTTACCTTATGCTTTTATTTTTATGCTTTTACTTTATGTACTATTTACTTTAGCATTTACATTTCATGCTATTTTCATCTTTGCTCACTTGAGCTTTTCTTTTCTTTTTGAAGATACTTAATAATTAACATAAACCATAAAAAACATTAATGATACTTGGACTATTTGGTCACTATCCTTGGTATTATGGAGTATTGGACTTCTTGGACTTAGGATTAGAAACCTTGGCCTATGTTGGAGACCTTGTGACCTTAATTTATATTTTGTATGGAGTTCTTGAGGTTTACCTCAAGACATTGGGTTGTTTGTTTGTTTTGTGTGCAGGTTATTATGATTACATACTTTATTTGTAATATGGAATTCACCCGTATACAGCCGTTACTCTGCCCAATTTTTGTGAAGACTTAATACACTTGAAGTTTGGTTCTCTCAAGAGGTCTAATATCTTTGTTGATTGGTTTCAATCCAAAGAATGGGGATTCTATCTTGACTCATAATGTCAAGTACTGACTTCTTGTTGGTTAGATGGTTCTTCTCTCTAGATTTTACCTCATGCTTTAGGATAGTCTCTTCTTCTCCTCCCATCTTCTTTAATTTCAAAAATCTTCTCCCTCCTTTTGAGAACTCTTCTTGTTTTTTTAAACTTGAACCACTTTCATAATAAACTTGGACCTAGGTCCATGCATTTTCAAAACCTTTTCATAAATAAACTTCAATCAACTTAATAATACCTTGACATTTTTTTGTGAGAAGACTAAAAGTCAATCAAGCTCATTTCAAACCATTTTGCCACTTTTCTTTTTACTTTAAACTTTTCTCAAAAGATTAGACTCTTGTCAATCCTTGTAGTGATGCAAACAACTATACTTCTATAATATGTAGTGAAGTGAGATATTTTCCACTTGGGTGTTGAGTGAGGCATTGTTGATTTTAAAATCCAAGCCATATCCTCCACTTTGAGATGACGCAAATTCTCCTTTCTTATAATTGTAGATAGTAAGTATGTTTTCCACAGGGACAATGACGGTGATGTCTTATCTCATAAAATTAACCAACACACTTGTGTTTTAAAATTTTTAAAGGTGAACTACGTGTACCCTGATCCCCTATTTCACGAAAGGTGGTACATAGGTTCGCAACCACAGCCGGTGAAAAAATCATAAAAATACTTCTTTTCTCATATCCACCATCTATTTTTTATACAACATTTTATAGCCAAAATATATAGATTTTTCAAAGAGGTTCCCGCAGAG